GGACAGGAGTAGCTTCCTGAACGGTCTTCCTAGTGCAGTGGCCAGGACCAGGATCCGGTGTCAGGACAACCCGGGTTCAAATTAAGCTGAGCCAGTTTTTGTCTTCAGGGTTTTGTCCAAGTCTGTCTGTCTGTCTTTCTTTCTTTCTTTCCTTTTTCTTCCTTCCTTTCTTTTTTTCCTTTGCTTTTTTTTGAGACAGGGTCTTGCTGCTTAGTTCAGGTGGGCCTTGAACTTACTATGTAGCCCAGGCTGGCCTCAAACTCATGGTGATCCTCCAGCTTCAGCCTCCCAAGTGCTGGGATCACAGGTGTGTGCCACGACCCATCCCCTTTCTGAGGCTCTGAGTGTCACTTGCATAATGCCAGTGACAGCAGACGCCTTACAAGGCGGCTGGGAGGAAAGGTGGCTGGGAGGGTGCAGAGTACTTCTTTAACCAGACTTGGTGGTGCACACCTGTAATCCCAGCACTCTGGGAGGCTGAGGCAGGAGGATCAAAAATTACAGTCTCAGCTGGATAATTTAAGGATTAGCAAAACACTGTCTCACTAAAAAGGAGCTGGGGATGCAGCTCAGTGTAAAAGTCCTGGGTTTGATCCCCAGTATGGAAAAAATTAACAGCAGGCAACAGTAAGCACGTGTCTGGGGTGTCACTTGCCCTCCCTGGGCTTCGCTGAGGTCCAGGGCCTTGGATGGGGCAGAGGCCTCTTCCCCGCAGCTGGGAGAGGCTCGAGGGGCTAGAAGGGTCCACAGAGGTGCCGAGCCCTCCCGACAGCCTTGATCCAAAGCCACATCCGCCGCCACGCCACGTGTGCACCACGGGCCGAGAGCCAGGCTGCTCCAGTCTCTACAGCTTCGGACTGTGTCACAGCACCCTGACCGCGTCCTCCTCCTCCGCCACCTCTGCCGCAGTGAGGCCGGGCACCCGCGGTGTTTGGAGCGAGGCTCGGCCGCCCGCTGGGTCCCCTCCAGGGGAGGCCTTGTGATGCCCCGGCCACTTGACATTCCTGCGTCAGGCGGGATCAACAGTCCCGGGCTGGGCAGAGCTGAGGGCACACACACTTGGAACGGCGTCCGTCACAGTGTAAGTGTTCAACAAATATTTGCCGGCTGCCCGATTGGCCCGGTTTCCACCACGGTCGCCGACACTCCCGTCCATCTCTCTAATCTGTTCAGCGGTGCTCATCCCCCTCGCTGCCCACGAGAGCCGCCCTGGAAGCTTATTAAAGAAAAGAAAAGCTAATGCCTGTGCCACACCCCTGGGCAGCTGTGGAAATGACTCCAGGCAGGCGTGGGCGCCTCTGAAGAATTCTCCAGGTGGTTCCGCAGGGGCCTGCACAGTGTGAAGACGCCGCTCTGACAGGCCGGCGGACTGACAACTCGCCCACCTCAGAGCATCCATCACATCCTACTCCTAGGCCTGCACCCGGAGGACTCGGGTCTGCCACGTCTGCCTGGGTGACCCTGCTCAACGAACTTGACCGGTCCGTGCCTCAATTTCCCTGTCTACAGAAGGGGAACATTCTAATTTTATAATCGTGAAAAGTTATTAAGACAATGTATTTTTAAAATCTTGGAAGAAGCCAGGCCTGGTGGTGCACACCTGTAATGCCAGCTCTCAGGAGGCTGAGGCAGGAGGATCACAGTGAGTTTGAGGCTAGCGTGGGCTACATAGTGAGTTCAAGGCCAGCCTAAACTACACAGCAAGACCCAGTCTCAATAGTAAACAAATACGTACATAGATAAAATAAAGGGCTTAGGAGAGTACTTCATAAATGTTTAATAAATGCTAGTCTTTATTGTGTTTTGTTCTCTCCCAGCCTTGGTTGAGTCTTATGTAAAAGGAGGGTAATAATAGACTAAGCCTTGCCTAAGGGAGATGAAATGAGCTAACACGCGTGTGGAGTTTTCTGTTCTCACTGGTTTTCATCAGTTCCCCGGGCAAGGTGATATACACCTGTAATCCCAGCACTCTGGGAGGCTGAGGCAGGAGGATCCCAAGTTTGAATCCAGACCAGGCAATTTGGTAACTTAGTGAGATCCTGCCTCAAAACTTAAAAATTCACAAAAGGGCTGGGGATGCAGCTCAGTGCAAAGGCCCTGGGCCCAATCCCCAATACGGGCCAGATACTGAGGGTCCTAACGCAGGGCACGGACACCCCACCCGGCCCGGGGACACTCACATAAATGAGGCCGGAGTAGTAGCGCTCGCGGAGGTTGTGCAGCACGGAGGCTTCGTTCAGGCAGGTGAGCTCGGCCATGTCCTCGGCCTTGCTGAACTTGGGCGGGTTCATGCGCTGGACCTGGTCCCGCGGCAGCCGCAGCCGTCGCCCGCTCTCCGCCAGCTCCACTTCAGCCTCCTCCTCGCCCTCATCGCGCAGCGCGGCCGCCTCGAACCCGTGCAGCTCCGAGGGCACCCACACCAGGCGCC